AAAAATGCAGCCTGCAGTATGTCGTAATCTCTGGGTAAAGGCCTAGGAGTCGGTGACCTCCTCAGTTCTAACCCAGATTTGATGTGAGTTCAACAGTGAGTCACTAGCCCTTTTTTTTCAAATCTCCATTTCCTCTAGGAAAAATGATCTGTCATTCTTTCTTATCTTTATATGGAAGATGCTGCAAGGAGGTTACACCATCATCATCCTTTCACCAGCAAGAAGTCATCGCTCAAAAAGTGCAGCTCCTTGTGTGGACCACAGGGGTCACTGGAGAGACACAGATGGCTCCTAGTTTTCTCCCGGTCTCTCAAGTGGTCCCTACCTGCCCCTCAAGCTTCAGGAAGCCCAGCCACTCTCCAGTAGGATCTCCTCAGGAGAGGCATGAGACGTGTTGTCCTCACTTAGCAGCAAAAATTACCTAACTGTTTCAGTTTTAAACTATATTTTTCTTTAAGGTTTTTTTCCTAGTTAGAAATGTGAAAAAGAGGAAATCCCAAAGGAGAATGTGGCCTAACACAAATCGCAAATGTAACCACAACTAGGCACTAGAGTTAGCACAAGGTATGATGTAATAAAGAGGGAGAGAGATTAAAGTGTGGTGTGTTGTGTATTAATAACTCAACCATTCTGGAAGTCAAAGGGTCCAAGTCTCTCTCTCTCTCTCTCTCTCTCTCTCTCTCTCTCTCTGTTTTACACACTCACAGATAGACAGTCTTAAAACAAAACTACTACATAAAGTAAGACTGCTACTGTGTTCTAACATTTTCTCTTTGGGTAATTTGTCCAATAGACTGGCAATCCATACGTAGAAAGACATTCATGAATGGAATACTAAGTCACATTCCCAAAACCATGGTGTCACTGGTATTCATTCCACATTCCACAATTTCACTTGGAAAATTGCAGAGCAAACAGAAAAGGAGATTGCTTGGTATTAAGTGTTTAGCATTCATGTGAAACAATTCCAAAAGGAACATTGTGATTTTCCAGGCTGTATATTTTAGTTTATCTAATTTGATATGATAGAATAAACCAACGTGATTATTTGCTTTCTTCGGTTGCCTAGGTTGGAGATTCCACTCTTCATTAACACACACTGCTTATTTTTCTTGAAAGAAAATTCCTCACTTCTTGTCTGTGTGTGCTGACTAATGTTACACTGTTGCTAAGCGAAGCCGGAATGGACTAGACCAAGGCCATTACCAAAACTAAATGAATGGGAAGTTTTGATGTCTCTAATTGAGGTACTTTAACATCACAATAATAAAGAATAAAATCTATCCCTCACAAAAGGGTCCAATTCATATTCCATTTAATGAAGAAAACTTTCTGATTATCACCCTAATTCAGTGCTTTCATTTTAATATCCTTTGATCATAAAAATACTTAATTTTTGTAATTGCTCTTAAAATGGTATACTAATAGAATTCAGTAACCCAAGCTAAATCTCAGGGTACCAGGACTTCTTGCTATGGACATTACTGACATTTTTGGCTGGGTAATTCTTTGGTACATAGGGAAGGGCATGTCCTGTGCGTTATAGGATGAGTGGAAACAGCCCTGGCTTTTACTCAATAAAGGCCAATAGCCCCACTCCAGCCCTAGTCATGACAACCAAAAATGATTCCAGACTTGGCCAACTGTCCCACTGGAGGTAGTGAGGGGCCAGGGGAAGAATCATCAGAGTTAGAACCACAACATCTGCCGTGTTCACTGCAGTGAAAAAGGGAAAGGAGTACTAGGTGTGGTGGCACACACCTACAATCTCGGCACTCAGAGGTAGAGGCTGGAGGATCTCCAGTTCTAGGCCAGCCTGGGCTACATAGAGAAAGAAAAATGAAACTTCGTGACCTCCTGTTTTTAATGGCCCATCCCTCTACACATTTTCATGTCAATCAATGAAGTCACGTTTTCTGAATTTCTAATACCTTCCCGCAGTGTCTTTTGAGTAGATACCCTTGTACTTCAAATGGGTTGTCAAACTACTTGAAGTCCTCTAATTCCCACTGGGTGAACAATCAGTAACCCTTAGCATAACTCTGCTTTGAGCCTTAAACTAACAGCATGTGAAAAGATCAATATGAATAAATTCAAAACTAATCAGACCCCTTCTTTAAATGTTGACACAGTATTATTTATATCCCATAAATACATTCTTGACTAAAATTCATATTAGGACTTTGGCACTTGGCCAATTCTATTCATATTTACTGTATTTATATAGCACCCTTGGCCAAGGATAATATTAAGACAAAATATGCCTGAGGGCATATACAATATCTCTTATATTTTTACTTTTAAATCTCCACATTGCTAAAAATATTTAGTCTGAACTTTATAAACTGTCCCACAAAGGGCTATCAGTAATCTGTAAAGATATATAGCTCACTGAGTATAATTAGAGCATATTTGTAATACTTGAGCTGAAGTCACTCCCTGAACACTAATAAGTTGGTGATTAAAAAAAAAAAATGAACCAGTGATCTTTCCCATGCCTTTATCCCTGGGGCTTATAACTCTCACTGGATTCACTGCACACTCCTTCCCAATAGTCACCACAGTGACAGCTGAGTTAAAGTTAGGCAGAAAAAGTCCTGAAGAAAACTGGTATATATAAACCAATTCTGTACTTTCAATTTGCTTTTCAAAAATATGGTGGGGTGTTATTTTTTTTCTTTTCTTCCTTTTTTTTTTTTTTTTTGGAAGAGTCACTATATTCCAGTACAACTAGAAAGTGCTGGAAAATCAGTTAACCTACTTTGTATAAAATTATCCAGTCTTTGCACAGTAGCACTGAAGCTGCTGTGAATGTGGCTTTCTGCTCATAAGCTTCCATATGGAACACAGGCTTTGTAAAGTTTGTATTCTTTTATGAAAAACTGATAGAATATTTATTTAGCCTGGGTTTAAGAGAGATTTTCATTTACTTGGAGGTTGGAAGCAGAATGGAAAGGAGAACCCACACACTGATCATTCTTGCCATATTCTGAAATCCTACTAATAATTTGGGAATGTTTCTGATTTGTTGATGACTGTGATCCTGGGTAGATTGTCGCTGCCCATCTTCATCTCTCAGACTGAACTATGCTTGAGAGAACAAAGAATTAGTGCTCTCCCAAAACCTATACAGTGATGAGATCTGACCTCTTGTTTGTGTTGCAAAAGTCCTGGAAGTTTCTTTGAGCTTATGTGTGCAAACACTGAAGGATGTTATTCAGGTTCTACATAACATACCTGCCTATCTGTCTGCCAAATATCAGAAGAACCAGGACACGTGCCGGAGAAAGCAAACTGACTCAACTCCTTATTCGGTCTCAATGGTTTTGGACTAATTACAATGAACTTTCTTAAAATCTCCTTGGCTCAGTCCCAATAGAAAGCTTTACTTCCTGGGGTGGGGGCTGGGAGGATAACCAGGGTAGAGTGTATTTATCATCATTGTTGTGGATAGCGCCATAATTACAGTAATAAAATTATCCTGCTGGCCAGGATTCCCTGCATCTGTTATGCCACTGAACAAGGAGGCACCACAGCAAAGGAAAGGTGGCCAGAAAGACTAGGGTTAGACACATGGGCCGAGATTCCGGGCCCATTAAGTACAAGACATGGCAAGTCACATAGCTACGACTTGTCAAACTAAAAATAAATATTAAAAAAGAAAAGCACCACCCTGCAATTAAAACTTCCAGGATAAAATTACCAAGATGGCTGTATTATCTATTTAGGCAAGCACAGAGACTTCACAAAGACAGGCAGCAAGTATATAGGGCCTGGAAAGGGGAGGAGAAAAACAGGCAACCAATGAAAAGTTTACGAGTTGGGGCTTGGAATACACAAATGTTGAAACATTTTTTTATTTTTTTTTTCTTTTAGTTCTTCCTGGTATTTAACCCTCTCAGGTATCACTGGCTGCTGTTGCTTCTTTTTTGAAGAACTCTGAAAAAATTCTACACTGTCCTCTTCCCTTCCCCCACTCTCCTCCCAAAGAACTGCACAATAAATCATTTCACTCCCATTGCTACTGTATGCCAGCTGATTTTGAGCACACTGCTCTCTCGGGGAAGCCATAATAATAGTAGTAATTTTTAAAAGATCAGCTGTCAATTTTCTGTCTTGGATTTAGAGAATGCACCAAGGTCTCTGCAGAAAGCTAATGTATAGAGCTCAAGGTTGAAAAAGATCAACGATAAACTCTAAGGAAAAAAATGACCTACTACACCGGCGATTTTAAGAAGGCAGCTTTAAGTGCATTCTGAAAAAAAAAAAAATAGCATGAAGTAAAACCTTCGCAAGCACAGTCAGAAACGAGGTTGCCCTTTCTACCACTCCAGGTGAAGTCAAAGGGGCACTTGGCTATAAGATTTTTTTCTTGGGGGAATGTAAACACCTAGCGAAGGCAATAGATACATCCGGGATTTGGAGGGGTTTTCAAGGGGTCTCCAAATCGGGTTTTGCCTGGACGATGCTGACATTTTCAGGGTAGGGAGAGACAATAGGAAAGGCTGGGGAACCAGCTGATAGGTCGGCACGGAAAGGGGGCGCCTTCCGGAGAGGCTAGTTTGGGAGTTACTTTTTTTTTTTTTTTTTTTAACCCTTGGTGCACCAGTTCTGCGCGCCCCACGCCGGTGGGGCAAGGAAAACAAGCCCACCTGCATTTTCCACTCTAACTCTACCTCTCCTTTGACAAGGGAAGGGCTGACTCCTAGATGATGGCAGGGTAAAGAATATCAGGGAAGAGCAAAAAAGCCTTAAAAAGGACCGGGGCGTTGGGGGAAGGGAGAGATGGTGAAAAATAAAGCAGAAAGTGACTGTTTTAAAGCCTGCGGGTCTGAAGCTCAAGACTGCCTGCAAAGGTGGATGGGGCTTAGGGCAGACCAGGGAAAGAGCAAACAGGGACCGGGAAGAGGGAAGGGCGATCCCCAGAGCCGCTGAGGCTCCGAGAGCTCCGGGCACGCGCTAGATAGACCTCAGGGACAGGAGTGACACACAGTACTTACTTTCGGAGGGAAAATAGGGTGGCATGTCTATTTTGTACACCTCCTTGGCGTAGTACTCCTCGTCGCTCCTCTCGCGTTCGCAGGCGGCCGCCCTCCGGCTCGCCTTCTCCTGGAGCAAGTCCCTGGTGCTGTTGTAGATGGAGATCACCTCCGGGGGGACCTCCTCGGGCTCGGGGTAGTCTTCTGGGGGGCTGGTGAGCTTCAGCTTGCTCAGGATCTGCCCGCGGATTGCCTCGATCCTCTTGCGCATGAACTGGTCCATATCGAGCGTGCTGCAGGTAGAAAGGCTGAACGCTACCGTCACCAGATGCAGGAGCAGAAAAGCGCTCAGCACACAGTAGTGCATGGTTTGTTTTTTAAGTTTTGTTTTTGTGGGGTTTTTTAAGAAAAAGAGAAAGAAACCAATAACTCAAAGTATTGGTCAGGTAGTTTGTTTTTAATACGAGACTTTTGCAAACAATCAAGAGTCAATGTCCAATAGGAAAAAAAATGTATCTTGCTTGAATTCCTTTAAAAAACAAAATGCGAGTCGTTCCAAAAGTGAAAATATTAATATGGGATGGGCAGGGGGAAGCCTGACTTTAAGGAGTAAGAAAAAAATTGCTTGGAGCGATGGGATGGAGAGAGGAAAAAAGAGAGACGAGTGGCTATTTAACAAAAATAGATTTAAAAGAAGGAAATGGAGTTCAGCGTGTCAGTCCTCGGGTGCGGAGTGGCGGATCTGAACTCGGCTCCTCCGGCCAAAAGGGAAGAGATGAAAAGGTCCCGGGGCTGGCAGCAGGCGAAATGACAGGAGGGGCTCCCGGAGTGCTGTAAGAGGGGGCGCCGATGCTGAACCCGGGCTGCAATTTATGTATTTTAAAAAGGAGCGGTTCGGCCCTGCCTTCCCCTGCGGCGCTGAGAGCAGGAGCAGCAGCAGCTCCGGAGCAGAGGAGCGCACACGTGTATGAGTGTGTGTGTGGTGCGCGCGTGTGCGCGCGCTGGGGGCGAGCCCGGCGCGCCGCAGGGAGGCAGATGCGCTCGGCACGGCGTAGGGGACCGGGTGTCTTGCTGCAGAGTCGGTGGAAGCGGCGAGAATCCTGCTCCCCGAGCTGCGCGCTGGGGCCTACACCCCGGCCGCCGCGCGCCCGCCCGCTCGGTTACTCCACGTTGCTGCTGCTGCTGCCGCCGCCGACGCCGCCTGGAAACGCGTCCAGCCTCCTCCAGCTCTCTCCTGCTCCTCCTTCTCCTCTCGCTGCGAAGGGCTACCCGGCAGCAGATGATCGGCGGCCGCCCCCGTGGTTCTCACTCCACGGTGGACCGCAGGAGCAGCCCCTGGGACGCGCGGGCTACGGATCTCTATGCCTAAGGGATTGCGGAGGGCGCCCTTGGACTCCCACCCTTTCCCAGCCTCTCCTGGCGTCTATCCCACTTGGACTTTCTCGCTTAGGGTAGGTAGGCACTTGCCACCCTAAAATAGACCCGCTGTTTCTTCTCCTTTCTGCAGCCGGGCGGCCCCTCGGTTTGCTCCAGACCGGCTATCCAGACCGTTATACGAATGTTCTCCACCCCTCTCCCCTGCCGCTCACTTGAGCCCTTGCTCTGCTCTCTCGCTCGCACTCTCACCCTCTATCTCTAACTCGCTCTCGCTCTAGCTCTCTCTCTCTCCCTTCGGCAGCTTCTGGAGCTCCTCTCAGAGCGAACCTTCTGCTGCCAGCAGATAACATCAGGATCTTGCCGGGAGGAGAGATTTATAAGTTCTCTCTGAACCACGTGTTTGCCTTCAACAAAGTGACGTGCTAGGATTACAGTCAGAAGTCCTCTCGTTACTTAGACCACGAGTCTCCCCGAACGGTGGAGGGGGGTATGGAAATGAGGACATCTGTGGGGGAGGAAGGGGAAGAGGGGTGGAGTGTGCGCCTCGACAACAGTGCCTTAAGGTATCTACTTTCTATAGGCATTTTTGATAGGTCTGTTGAAGGACAAGCTGTCAAGCATCCCGTTTTTACTTAGTGTGGCTAGCTCACAACCTTCCAAATTAAATTGCTGGCTCTAGAACACGAGCGACACACACACACTCTCTCTTTAAAGGGGCACCAGTCTTCTCAGGGTCAGGCCAACGCCGAAGTCACGCCTTCCAATCCAAGATTCCTGACCTACCTTTTTAAATTATCTGGGATTCCATAACGGACTGCTACCGTGAACCGTATTTTATTAGCTTGTCGTTTACAATCTAGCCCTCAGTTTGACTGTAAACTGGAGGAAAACAGATCGATCCTTTTATGTTTGTCTTTTCTGAATGAATGGTCATCTTCATCTGCTGCCTATGCCACTTTTAGCATGGCTTTCTCTTCACCTTCTCCTACACTAGATATTATCAACCACCTTCATTCTTTCCACAGCATACATCCAGAAAACTGGAATTTTAAGTGTTTGATGTCTACTGTTACACACTACTCATAACTTGACATTTTCTACTTCAACTTAGTCCAAATTAGAGGAATACAAGAATAATTCTTGCCACTGTTCAATTTTCCCTTTTTCTTTTATTTTACCTCTAGTTAGTCAGAGTCAACATTTTAATTTTAGCATGACACTGTGGCCATACTGACTAGACAGATGATTTAAACTGGAAACTGTGGAGTTTTTCCCCAAATTCAAGACCTCTATATTATTCCCTAGCTCAGATATTTCCTGGTGTAAAAAGTTCCACTTAAAAAAATGAAGGACAGAAATGTAAAACATGTCACATTGTGGGGTGGGTTCTGGCAGGAAGGGCAAGGTAAAAGGAGCAGGTAAAGCACACAGCACTATAAAAGAAATTTATATACATATAAAAGGGAGGAGGGAGGAGGAGGACAAATATGGTCAATGTGCTTTATTTACTTGAATGAAGACAAAACAATGACAACTACTGAAATTGTTTTAAGAGAGAGAGAGAAGACTGATGGAAGGAGTGAATCTAACCAAAGTACATTGGAAATCTCACAATGAAACCTGTGAACAACTAATATGTGCTAATAAAAATGTTTCTTAAAAAAGTTCCTGTGACAGTCAAACTTTTGGAATTTATACTTTAGATATGTATGAGGCCTATGTCACTAGTAAATAAATAACTAGCATACACCACACTTAGCAATGTGAGATAGATTATTATTACTGTCATCCATATTTTACACACAAAGAAATCAAGTATATTGCTTAAGAATAAATGATAGACCTAGATTTTGGACTCAGGATCCATTGTCTATGTTCTCACCATGTATTTCTAAGAAACAGTGGTCCCAGAATATGTCCTGACAGCAGGGATTCTGAGGTCAAATAAGTCTGGGAGACATGAGATACTCTACTGTTATCTTACACAATCATGAGTCCCACTGTCACATTAAAGGCTCTGAGACTCCTGCAGAAAACTTAACTCAATTTTCTGAACTTACCTGAACATGGAATTTTTCTCATTAACTCACATTGTAAAACTCTGTAATAAACGAATTGTTTCAACCTGCTTCTGAGTGAATCTGGAAATGATATATACATCAGCAGCAGCAGCCTGTTTTCCTTGAGGCCAGCTTCAAATTGAAGCAACTCACAAGGTAGCAATCAGCTAACATCCCAATAGCCAAAGGAAAATACAATCAAGAGCTACTGCTGGGCTAGTCATTTCAAGTTGAGCCATCCCTTGCGAACTGCATTAATCCAGCAAATATAGAGAGAAAAAGAAGGGGGAAATTCCAGTTACAGAACATGGAGCAGGAGCTACAAACTACAGCTACTGTATGCTGAAATGGCTTTAGACTATGGCTAGCTTCCTGAGTGAGCTGTCAGCATGTAGGTGCAGCTTCCCTTCAAGTCACTGAGCGTCTCACTCTATTTTGAGTGTTGTGGCGGTATAGACACAGGTGCATTTAGGTCACGTGGGTTCAGACAGAACAGCAAAAGTCCACCTGTATTACATCTAGGAAAACACCTTAAGCCATAAATGTCAATGAATGCCCCCTTCCAATACAGACATCCACATTTTTGTTCACAAGTTTAGTGAACACTTATTGCAGACTTAAGATCCCTTAGCTAGGAGGCCCTTGACCTATTCATAAGCCCAAGAGGATAAGACAGGGAAGGGGCTGATACAGTGACCTGAGTTCAGCAGTTCCCAAATGAGTAATCTTTTTAGGATATAACAGGTGAGACTGCAAGAGCTGTTTCCCTAGCTGTCCTAGTGAATCCTGAGTTCTCTTCAATAACTCCTGCAAGGCCTTTTCATCTCTATAGTGAAAGAAGCAAAATCTTCATTAACTTTATCAAGATCATATGTGCTAGGAACTCGCTACAATCTGTGTGCTAACAGGGCAAACCACATGCATCACCTTGATTGCCTCAAGGAGCAGGAAGGTACAGTAACCATAGGGCAGGCTCCAGAGGCAAGATTTCTTGGGCTCAAATTCCTGTTGTTTTCTGGCTTTGTGAGCCTAACCAAGTGACTTAGGCCCTGGTAGTTTATCTGTGCAATGGGTGTGTTTACATAGTACCAACTACATAAGATTACTGCCAGGATTAAATTACATAAAGTACAGAAATGAAACCTGGCACCTGAGTATGTGCTCAATAAATGTTACCTGCCATTATCTTATCTTATCCCTTCATTCTTGTCAGGGAATTTATAATAAAACATATCTTACCTCCACTACTTATCAAATATTAATAGAATGAAAAGCCAAAAAAAAAAAAAAAAGCAGGCAGTAAGAATTTACTTTGTGGGAACCAGGTATGGTGGTGCATCCCTGTAATCCCAGAACTCATGAATTCAGCTGAGGCAGGATGATCACAAACAAATTGGAGACCAGTCTGGGCAACACAGTTGAGACCCCTGTCTCAAAAATAGGTAGGTAGGAAGGTAGGTAGATAGCTAGATCAGACAGATAAGATAAAAACTTTTTAAAAAGAATTTGCTTCATGGTTATGCCTCCTGGCAGTTTTTATGAACACATTCATTATATTTTTGCCCCCAATAATTGTAGGATAAACTGTACAAGAAAACACACTTTTTGAATAAAACACTAAATAACTATCAGCGTTTAGTTAAGCCAACATTAAAGTCTCTTATTTAACCCCCGAAACTGAATTCTTGGTTTCCAGATTAGAGGGTGATTGACTCATTGATGGGTCTGTTCACTTTAGTAATGTGGAATTCTAACAAGAGGTTGAACAAAACCATTCATCCCTGTTCTGGAGTTTTATCCCTACAGGACCTGCAGCAGCTGATCTAGTATTTCCTTCCTCTCATCAAAAAATAACTTCATTTGCAATAATTCTGAGAAAGCTTTCCTCAATGGTTTCCAACAATAAAACCTGGGAGTTGGGGTAAAGAAATACATGAAACTACTGTAATGGATATTTTTCATCAAATAGTGACATCTGATGATGGCAAAATAATCCTCTGCTACAGAAAATACACCAAAAGCCTTTACCATTCTTATTTGTAACCTTATCTTTGATTCCAC